CAAAGAGGACCCCAGAGAAAAGTCTAAAATGTTTATTTCAGTGGAAGGGTTAAGCTTCTTGGGGGGAGGCAAAGTCACTGAACGAAGAGATTACGTCCAAGAGTGACCTGGACAAGGAAGTCACAAGGCGACTGGCTTCTCCGTGGTTAATGTGCTCAATGCACCATTTCTGAGCCCTCCGTTTACAAGTGGTGGCGACATTTTTATCGGTGAGCCTGTGATCAGTCTTCTCAGAGAGTGCTTGGACTCTGCTAAATGTCCGGAGGGTGATATTTAAGAAGGAAAGCCACACTTGCTGTTTTCCAAATTTCAACTCTTTCACAATGCAGTGTGTTCCTTATATCAAATGTCCGTTGTGTGACCAGGTAAATGGAATTATGTCATGCTGAAAGTAAAAAAGGCCGGTCATCTCTTCAATCAGGGGAGATACAGATAAGAAAGAAAATGTTTCATTTGGTTCCTCACGCTCAGCTCCTCCGTATTGTTCAATTGTTACCTGCCGCTCACCCAAGACACACAGTGTATCCACTGAGATAAGACAGCCTGCATTCTGTGTGCCTGCCGTCAGTACAGGTATTGAAAGAAATCACATCGATCTAAATTTGACCCTAAGCGGAAGGAAGGAGGGTCACCTGAACAGGGATTGTGAATAATGTCACCGTGCGAATGATAGCTTTTTCCTTCCTTCCTGTCCTGCTAGAGCTAACACCTCACCTCCAAACACCCTCTCCTCTGGGTGTCTATCACAGTAACCCCCACATCTGTTTGTGCATCTAACACTGGGTTACTGAAGCAATATTTCCACAAGAGAAGTAAGGTTCCTGAACACTTGCTCACAGTCCCTGGCATATATCAGGAGACATTCTCAAATATCTCTTGCTGTAAATGAGTATAAATAAATGATTTTTGTTTGAAAATTCAATTTTTGACAATTTGTGGATTTTTTTTTTCCATAGTGGCTTCCCAAATAGGGGCGGGGAAAGTTTGGAAACAAATCCAATACTCGTTAAAATCACAGACAGTAATTTGGACGGATAACAATTTTCAAGATCCCCCCAAAAAACAGAGATAGGGTGGAGATCTGAGCCAAATTTAAAAGGAAGAAATTGAATACTCAACCACGCACCTTCAAGATGGAAGAGAAATGGTTTACCAGCAGCATATGCAAATATAGCTAAATTTTCCTCAGCTATGTTGTATGAGTGCCAGAAAGGCTAATGCAATTCTAGGCACATTGTCTATGCTTCCACAGAAGCATACAAAGAGGAAAAAAAAAAAAAGGGAGACAATAATTTCACTCTATTTTGAGGTGACACCTTGTGGGCAACCAGTTGATGAAGAGCTGCAGGAGAGCGTCCCAGTGGTAATTTTAGAAATCTTGGCAAATCTAAAAAGAGGAATCTGGTTAGCCTCAGTGGTGGCAGGGAGAGGGTTGAGGGTGTCACAGAACCAACGTGACTTTGCTTCTTGGTGAGTCGCAGGTAGACACTGCACCCAGGTAAGTTGTCACACAAAGGAAATTTGACCTGCAACAAATAAGGAGATCACAGGGAATGACTTCCGAAGTCGTGACTCCCCAAGCAAGGGTGGATAGGTTCCTTTTATTAGGGTTGGGGTGACTATTTAAAAAGCGGATCCTTGTCACCCTGTGTAGAGATGGGCATTGGGTTGCACATGCGCCTTAAAGAAACATGCCTATCCATATTGTGTATGTTATGTAAATGAGGCTTGTGCTCCTCCTTGGGATAATGAGGTAAAGGTGGTTGTTGTAGTTCTGGAGGTCACTCCATGGTCCTTCTGTGCAGATGCCAGTAGGGGGTTTAGCTCAAGCTGGTCTCGGTGGGCTGGGTGAGCTGGAAGTCTTGTCAGGGCAGTTGCTGTCTCCGGAAGGGTGGTTTCCACTTTCATGTGCCTGAGGTAAGAGGTAAGCTGGAAAGAAGAGCTTACGGAAAAATGGGGGGCAAAAGTCGGTGCGTACAAGCAGGTGGGCAGTGAAAGGTCAGGTCTTGGGGTCTAGCTGGTGACGAGGGCACTAGGTAAACACTTAAAGCCTGGTTATGTGGACCAGGTGGATTACACGGACACTGATGGCTCCAGCAGACAGAACCAGAAACGGTATATAGAAGTTGCAAAAGGACAGGTTTGAGTTCAGGGTAAGGAAGAACTTTCCAGTAGAGTTGCTCCTCTAGGGGCATGGAGGAGTGAGGTTCTCAGGTCGGATATAGATTCAAGAAGAGGCTGCATGGCCCCCTACTGAATAGTTCCTATTGGGTCAGCCTCGACGGGTCACTAAGGTGTCTTGTCACGCTGTGGCTGTGATTCCCTGGCCATGTGGTAACATAGAGCCAACTGGCCTGAAAGAAGAGAAGTGCAGTGTAAGGTCTCCAAAGTGGGACACCTGTCAGTACCCTCCACTCTCCCCGGGGCCTGAGGACGAAGCAGGCAGCTGTCTGAGGTGCCAGAGGGAGCTGGCCTGAACAGCCAGTTGTGTTCCTCTGGTGTTCTTCAGGCTTGTTTTAATGCCTTCTGGGCTTTCTTTTTTTTTTTTTTTACGATTTTAATTATTTATTTGAGAGAGCGAGCACAGAGGGAGAGGGAGAGGGAGAAGCAGACTCCCTGCTGAGCCGAGAGCCTGACTCGGGGCTCGATCCCAGGACCCTGAAATCAGAACCTGAGCCGAAGGCAGACACTTAACTGACTGAGCCACCCAGGCACCCTGGGCTTTCAGCTTTTCTGTTCCTGATATAAATCTATTGCTCTACCCCACCCCTGTCTACACACACACACACACACACACACGAAGCACTTCCCTAAAGCAGAAGGAAATGCATAGGAAATATGTAAAACAGCTGAGCTAGACTCCGAGCTGGGGCTTCCTCTGCCCTGTCCCAGTAGTAAATGAATCCATTTCACTCTTTTATTTTTTTTAAGATTTATTTATTTGACAGAGAGCGGGAATGGGAGGGAGGGGCAGAGGGAGAAGGAGGGAGAATCTTAAGTAGACTCCTCGCTGAGCGCAGAGTCCGTCTGCTGCGGGGCTTGATCTCACTACCCTTAGATCACGACCTGAGCCAAAATCGAGAGTCAGCTGCTTAAGCGACTGAGCTAGCCAGGCGCCCCTAACATTTCACTTTCAAAGGTTAGGCTGGGTACCTGAAGTCGGACTGTTTGACTGGATTGATTTTTCTAGTAGAAATCGACTGTTTTGAGACAAGTGTATGCATTTGCTTCTTGGTTTCTTTACATGTTCTACAGTACGTACACATCCTGAATGGAGATAAGAATCTCAGGCAGAAAGTTATTTTTGCAGTGAGGTGGAAGGAACATTAGATATTTCAGCTAAACAACTCTGCGGCCCTATGTAACGCCTGGAAGTGGTGTGATCTATTTGTGTTGCCTTTCCTAGGCTACTTGCTTTTTCCCCTTAGGTTTTTTTCCCCTCCTATAAAATGGAGATCATAATAGCACCACGCCTTAGGGTTGTGAAAATGAAGTAAGTTAATACAGGTAAAGAGCTTCCATCGGTACCAGGTGCATACAAAACAAGTATTAGTGTTATTATATACTGTTTCAGGAGTCCTTTCGACCTCCTCCAGGATTAGTAATTTGCCAGAAGGACTCACACGTCCCAGAAAAGCTGTTATACTCAGTTATGGTTTGTTACAGCAAAAGAATACAGATTAAAATCAGCAAAGGAGAAAGGTGCACTGGGTGGAGCGCAGCTGCCCTGGACCAATCGCACGCTGCAGTTGTCCTGACAGAGCTTAATTCCCTTGGCAGTGTGTGACAACACGCACCGGGTGTGGCCAACCAGGGAAACTCCCCCCACACCTTGGTGTCCAGGATTTCTGTTGGTGAGGAGTCAGTCACACAACATGCAGTCTTCAGCTCCTCCTTCCCCACTTGCCCCCACGAGCAGTCAAACTGACCTAGTGTGACCCCACACCCGGACATACAAAAAAGGCGTTCACAATAAATCATGTTGCTGGCATAAACTATATGGCATGGCCCAAAGTCTCAGGCACACAAAGGCATTTTATCAGGCGGGATACTCCAAGGGTTCAGAAAGAGCCAGTCAAGGGACATTTGGAATGTGGAGGGTTTGGGCAACTCAGACTCCCAAATTAACATTTTACTGCACATTATATATAAATTTTGCTTATTTGAACAATCAAAGTCAACCATTTTCCTAAGGCTTGAAGTACTTTTTTTTAGTATGTGAGTATTTATTGAGTGCTTATCACATGTATATCTCTTATAACCTTCTATGAGCTGGAAAATAATTTCAGTTTCAATCCACGTTGTAAACCCAAAAAAGAAACTGTGATTATCCAATTGAGAGGACATATCAGAAACTAAAGATCACTACTATCATTGCAATAACAGTGCTAATAGAATGCTCCACAAATTTTAACTAAAATTACATGCCAAATGCTTTATGAATATTATTAGTTTCAGGCCTTATCAACAACCATGGGAGGGAGGTAATAGTTCTCTTTTACAGGTGAGAGGGTGAAGGTCCAGAGAGTTTTAAGAACTCCCTCAAGGTCCCTCAGCCAGTAAAGGGCAGAGTTTGCATTTGCCGATCTGATTCCAAACCTCACGGTCTTAACATCATGCATGATAGTTTCCTGTGACGTTGAGAAACAAAGGCTCTAAAAAGTATTTTGAAACATTAAAAAAAAAATCCAACAAGATTTATCTGATTTGATCTCACGATCCACAGAATGTTTAGACATCGGGGCAGAGTTGTGGCTAGAACATGTGTTGCTTTTACCAACAGAAGAGATCTCGGCAAAGAAGTTTCTAAGATGCCTCTCCCCACAAATATGCAAAAAAGCAAGGAAAAGAGAGATACCAAAAGGAGGAAAATTATATAGCTAATCTGAGTGTTTTGATTAATAAGGGGAACATAAAAATCTGAATGTTCTCCAAGATTCCAAAATTGTTGCCACCATGAATTGTCTGTAATTGTATCTTTCTTCTTCCCCTATTATTAGATCTCAGTCTGTGGTAGAAGCTGGGACCCTGAAACATGAGGAGAAGGGAGAGAACGAGAACACTCAGCCACTCCTGGCTCTGGACTGAACCCCGAGTCACCCCATGCTCTCGCAGATCGCCAGCCTTCAGTGGTATCAGTCACCCAGGAAGCACATGAGCAACTGACCCGCACAGACACGTGCGTTCCGCTTGACACAAGGCCCTCTACTTCTGCCACTTCTAGTAATAACTGTCACCAGCCATTGGTCTGAGCCGCCAAAGTTTGAACAAGGACTTGAGAGATGCTTTTGGTTTTGTTTCTTTCAGCGAGGGGACTGGAGGTGAAGCAAGGCAGTCACGTAAACATGATTCTTCCTCCCCCATATTTATGGTATTAAGTGAATTGAAAAAAAGAAAAACGAAATTTGATGCACACATTGGATGCAATTTGATGCAGTCGTGCCAGGATTTTTCTGAGGTACCGCAGAGACCCTCTCCAGGTTTTGTGGCTTAAGATTAAGTGCATTTCCAAGTAGATACATAAGAATGAAACTGCAGACCCAATTGTCAAGCTCAATGTAGTGCAAAGCCCCAAGACAGTAGTATCTCCAGGAATTTCCACTCTTATTGAATTATTTTCTTTGACCTCATCACCAGCATTGAATTGTTCAGCCCAAGGGCATGTTCTTATAGGTCTGGCTCTTTGCAGAGTTTGCTTATTTTGAGATCCTGCAAGAATTATTTTGACGTCACATCTTTTGTCAGGCTACCAGCTGATTACCATGATCTGACTTTAAAAGGAGACACACACAACTTGAAATACGATTATTTCATCTTCATAATGTGACTTCCTACAGGCAACATGAGATTGCGGAGCGGGGGCAGGGCCTCATCGAAAACACATGTCAGTGATTAATGGCTCCATTCAAATTGCCTCACTTGGGTCACTACAGGCAAGAAAAGTGCTACAAAAGCATTTAACTCCCCCACCCTCCCACAACCAGCTAAAGGTATGGAGAAAGGAGCTGGCTGTTGCTGAGAGGGTAGGTACCAATCATGGAGGAAGACCCTTAACGATGGCTAAATATGCAAGTACTGACCATTAGAGATTAGGAATGCGGGATAAAATGCCAAAGATCATTTTATTTCTTTGTCTATTCTCCTTAGAAATGGAGTCCCCAACTATCCATTCAAAGGAAATTAAATAAACAGATAACACAGGATAAGATATCCTTACTTGTGCCACGTTTCCCGAAACCAGTTGTGTGTTTTAAGGCATCTCTTATCTTCCCAGCCATCCATATGACATGGGCATTTATCAGTAGGACCAGTTGGTGCTCAATGTCAAATAAAAAATATTTTAGTTGATAATGGGCAGAAAAATATGATTTTATGTTTTCAGGATTTGGGAGGGTGAGCTAAAAAATTCAGAGAAAAGAGGTGATTCGACTGGCCATAATCACCCTCAGTAGATATTATTACTAATCTTAACCATTTATTACGTCTCTTTCTCAATGAATCTAGTGTTTTAATTTTTTTTTCTACTGGCAGAGGAGAATAAGAGAAGTAATTTTTGTATTCCACCCTTGAAATAAAATTGAAATAGAATTAAAAATATTTCTCAACCGATTGTATCATGGTATAAATAAAACCCATTCATTTTGTGTAGACATTTCAAATAACAAAATAGTAACATTGAGATAATTCTACCCATGCAGTGACTGAAACACTTTTCTTATATTCCATGACATAGGGAAGAAAGATAAAGAATTAAAGTGAATTAGAAAACCCATTTTATGACTTGGGTTTATAAAATAGTTGTGGGATCCGAGTATTTAAAATGCTATTGGAGTTGATTATTGCCAACACTTTGCAACAGTAATAATTCTGGCTTTTCAATTGGCAATATTTAGAATCCTACTGTAGTGACCTGATTTTAAATACCATATTATAATTATTAAGTTAAGAGCTAGTTTTTACTCTATGCCATGATTTCATTAAATGAATGTAAGATGATGGTTTAACATTGACAACTTATACTTTAAATTTCTTTACGTGTATGCAATATACATTCAAGAACCAAATTCAATAAGTGACATGGATGTTATTACATGAGCATTGGATTGTATTGTCCTTTGTCAGTCATTTCTTCTGTTCAATAAATACTGAAGGACACAACACCTTTTGATTTTTCAAGAGATTGCTTTTTCTTCTGGGCTTTGGTAATTAATTTGGAGACTTTCCTCACATGCTTCTTCATCTATATTAGTGGGATTGTTTTTGGCAAAACAGAAGGGAACAGGACAAATATTTTGCAAACCCTTCTAACTGGAAGCTAATGTCAAGCAAAAAGGGTACCTTTCAATGGTAAAGAACTCTTTTTAAAAGAGATAAAGAAAGCATCCTCCTTTGTCCTTAGATGGAAAGGAAGCACAAGTGTTTTTTTCTACCCCTGAATGAAATCTGGTAAACTCTGTGTCATTTTTTCAGTATTTTTGTTCATATTGGCTTAAAATTCAGGGGCATGAATATCCTTACATTCATATAGCTAACATTTCTAGTTTGATTGGAAACATGCAATATTTAATACACTAATGCCCCTCTAAATTAATAATTTGATTGTCTTTGGAATAAGTAGGCAAGACCATTTTTTCAACTGTTATTTCTATGCTGTGGATAATATTAAAGCTAAACTATGGATAACAACTGCTACTTCTAAGCTATATTTAAATGGCAGAAGCTTCTCAAGCCAGGGAAATGGAAGAGTCTTCCAAACTCTTTCAAAGAAGGAGGCAATCCTAAACCCAGGACTAAGACCCTGGCATTCTTGGTCTTCTGCTCTGCCATCCTTCATATTTTTACAAAGCTGTGATGGGGATCCATGTAAGGACCTCCTCGCTCACAGGGATCTACAATAGGCAAAGAGACTCTGGATTCCAGCCCTGTCTCAGATGCCAAAGAGGCCCAGGAGCCAGATGTCTAGCAGCTACCTATCTACCTGACCCTGAGAGAAAATTTTTACTTTGAGAAATGTTACTTTTTTTTTTCACGTTCTAATTCTTGGCATTAAAAAAAATTACAGGTGGCACTTTTATGACTCAAGATAAAATGACTCCATGTCCTGTTTCAGGATGAAAAGCTCCTCTTGGAAAGACAGCATCTCTACCATGTGCATGGTGAGGAGAGACATTAAGACAATGGCTTTCAATGAAGATAAGAAAGCAAACAGTCTCAGTGGGTGGGAAGCAATACGGTTCACAGACATCAGCGTAATTACATCTTTCTCCTTTGGATCAGGAAAATAAAATTGCTTCTTTATGAGTGTCTATAACTAAAAATAATTAAAAGAGGGAAGTCTGAGTTCACGGGGGAAGTCACCATTAAGCAGCTAGAAGTAAAGCATTTACATAGCTTATTATTAAACTCAAGAAAAAAGTAGTGGTACATGATGAAAAACATGGCCTACCTACCCTAGAAAAATACAATTGCATAGAAAAATTACTAAAGTGATCCATTCACAGTTTCTACATATATTCTCATTGTACACTGATTCAGGCCTCTTCTAAGTGGGAAAAATATCTTTGGCTGACAAGGCAGAAGCTCTCGTGTCTTCACTGGAAATACAGCATCAGATGGGTGCTGTCGTGAGATGAAGGACAGCAGGGGGCTTTCTACGTGAATTGCAGCAAGGCAAAATATTCCATTTAGTGTCTTCTAACCCTAGGAGGAGCCTTAGAATTTTGGGAGCTGCCCGTTAAGGGAATGAAGGGCCCTCAGACTCGGAACCTCTACCCCTACACCCAAGGAGATAGAACCACCAAGGCAGCCTCTCTCCAGTGTGTCCCAAGCCTGCACAACATGCTAAATCGCCGGAAGGCTCTGTCTCTGCTGGGGTGTCAGCTCTGGGTGCCACACATCCACAATGAAGATCAGCCGGAAAGACGCGGCGTCCTGCCACACCTCATGCTCGAAAGAGTCGTCAAAGATGAGCACCTTGCCTTCTTCCCATGTCCTGGAACAGAAAAACACGGATTCAGATGCCTGAGAACCAATCCCTGGCTACGTACAGAGATGGGCACTTTCACGGTGACCTTTGGGATCTGGCCAGAAGATTGGAACACGAAGCCGAGATGGATTCTTCCCTTGGTGATTAAGAAAGAATTTCGGGATTTTTACCATAAACACAGTTTTCAATGCTCAGCCCTAAGGGTGTGCAATGGGCAGACTGACCTTATCACAGGCCCTGCAATTACTCTTGGCCCAAGCCTAGGTGAGGCTTATTGAGGCAGGCAAGCAGGCAAAGGCGTGCCCCGGCGGCTCATGCCCACGGTGACTTCCTGGTCAGTGACTGCATGCTATCCTCCCTGGCCTTTCAGAGATTGGTCTACACCTGTGGGTAGCACACCTGGGCTTAGGCCTCCCAGTGCCCTGGGGGCTACCTGGCACGGGGCCATCGCATCTCCAAGTGATTTTCCTCAACCCTTCCATTTGTTGAAGTTCCATTTTATGGAAGAAAGTTCCATTTTATGGAAGGGCAGATTGGGAATGAATTTTGTTTATATTTTTAATGTCATCTGCAGTGCAAGTGGGTTATCCTTGGAATATTTTAAGTCAATGCTGCGAAACATCCTTTAGGGTCTCTAGCATTACTTCATAAAATATGTGTATAGGAGCTAAGACCTAAACATAGTGCTCGTCTAAATAAAGCCATCAAGAGAGAAATGCGCAGGGGCAATAACACAATGCCTTTCAAATACAAAGAAAGTTTATTGCTGGTGCTAATGTTCTCCTCTTGTTAAAATAGGCATTAATTGCCAATATATTGCATGCTGCGTTCTGTTTTTTAAGATGGAATTTTCACTAGGAAATTTTCTTTAGATATAAAAATTCCACTCAGGCATTTGAAATTTTATGTCACAGATTAGCAAATAATTAAAATTACAAGATAGAAAATGTTAGCTAGTAAGGAAGTCTGCCTTAAGAAAAATTATTTGTGTCTTTTTATGCTCATTACTAGGCACAGTAATTAATTACTGATTAATTACATTAATCAGTATTTTTTAGGTCATATTTCATACTGCAGGGTTTCTCAACCTTGGCACTAGTGACATTTGGGGCCAGATAATTTGCTGTTGGGGGTTGTCCTGCGCTCTCTGTATGCTTGGCAGTAACATCTGGCCTCTACCCACTAGAAGCCAGTAACACGCACTCTCCCACCAGTCATGAGAACCAAACCTGTCTCCAGTCATTGCCAAATGGTGGGATGGTGATGG